GTAAAGCGAGATGGCGGTGGAGCCACCTCACCACATAATGCAAACGCGTCAAATAAGCCGCGTCCGGCTGCCGTCTTCTCCCCTCCTATTCCTACACAGGGGGAGGGGGGCACACAACAAAGCGGCGGCGACGGCTTGGCGCGGTGCCTGCCCAGCGTCCCCCCACTGAAGAGTCGGGTTCCCCCACACACACAGAGAGAGAGAAAGAGGGAGTGAGGGAAAGGAAGAAATGGATTCAAAGTAAGTGCGGCCATGGCAACCGGGGCTCTCGTCGTGAACTCACAAAGTGGCACTCCTGCAGGCCCCTGCTCCCCTGCGTGGAGGGCCGGGAAGGAGGTTGGGCCGGGATGACGGCGCGGCACACATAAAACAAGAAAAACAAAAACAAAAAGGGAGGCGCTGCGCCCGCCGCCCCCACCCCACGACGGTACCGCGTTGGAAACACAAGTCAAGTAATACATGAAAAAGAAAACGGAAGGGAGAGTTCACGAGGTCGCCCTATCATCTACTTGGCCCGACTTGTTCCCACATGCCTTCCACACGCCGCTTGTACATATGTGGAAGCGTAACGAGGTCCTAAACACGGGAAGTGTACGCATGTATATGTATGTATATACTTCATATCTGGCGGGGCGAAGTAGGCGTAGAGGAGGCGAGGGAGGAAAGGAAAGGAAAGGAAAGGAGCAAACGATGAACCGACATTGGAAGTAAGAAGAAGCGCGCAAAAACAAAAAAAAAACAAGAGAGTGGGGGGGGGGGGGAAGGACCAAGAGAAGGCATCCTCCCCACCGCCATCCTTCTTATCTGGTGGCTCCGTCGCTCTCTCCCCGCTCTTTTGCACACTCCCTCCCTCCCATCGTCATATTTCACTCCCAACCGCTCGCTTATTATGTTGTTGTTGTTTTGTTGAGGCGGATGGAGGGCTGCGCAGTGAACTTCGCAAGACGTCATTGCCTCGGCGCTTGTCTTGGTGCGGTTGCCGCTGCCCAGCAGCAACTCTCTATATTCTTCTGCTGTTGCTTCCTCCTCTCTTCTCACGCCCGCCGTCCCGTAGCAAACGGGCGCCGCAGCAGTCGAGGGCCGTGGGAGGAGGAAGCGCCGGAGTGGCACACCGCGCCTGTCTAGTCTGCCAGAATGGTCACCTTGCGCTTCTTTCGCCCCGACGAGTCCACACATTCGGTGCCGTTGTTTGCGCCTGCCGCGGCGGCGGCGTCGTTGCCCGTGCTGCTGCTGGAGGCATCCTTCGGCGGGGCACCTTTCCGCATTGCGCTGCACGCGGGACGGGCGTTCCCGTCAAACCCGCGCCGCGGCTCCGCGGACATCTTCAGGATGCCGCCCGCCGGCGGTGGGGGGACGCTGCGGGTGGGCGTCGCCTCCCCGAGGGCGGGGGAGGGACTGTGGGCGAGGCCGCCCTGGCTGTGGCTCACCATGTGCTGCCCGGCACTGGCGTAGGGAAAGGCCGGGGCCACCGCCGCGGGGCTGCCCTCGCGCGAGGCGTGCCGCGGCCACGCACTCGCCGCCGACGTCGGTGTGAAGCCGGCGCTCCCTCGCATGAGGCGGTTCCCGCCACCACCGCCAAATGCAGAAGCGGCAGCGGCGCCGCCGGCGCCCCGCACGGCGGAGAAGGGCGATATAAAAGACGACGCCGCCGACGCCGACGCCGCTGTAGGCGCCGGTGGCCGCCAATCCTCCAAGGCACTCCGCTTCTTTGCCGCCTGCATTCGCTCCGACATGAGCGACATGCCTTCGCCCACGAGGAAGGAGGGCGTCCGCTCGGAGGCACCGGCCGTCGCTGAAGACACCGGTGCGGGGGCATCCGGGATGAACGGGGCGCCGCGCCCCGGCCCCGGCAGGTCGCCGCCACACGGCATCCAGTGCGATCCCACTGCGTGGGCCGCCGGACGCTCCTCACCCCGCCCATCCAGCGGCCCGAAAAGAACCTCCGGCTCCGCCGGGGCGCAAAGCGCCGCGCCGCTACCGCCCATGGGCCGCAGCAGCTCGATGTTGGCGTCGTCGAGGCGCAGGCAGTGCATCCCGTGACGGTGGGAAGCCACGGCGTCGTGGGAGGCTCGCGCCACGCCACCCGCACCCCCCGCACCCTCCGCCGCCGCCGCCTCCTCGTGCTGCCGCCGCTGCTCCTCCCGCTTCCTCCTCAATTTTTCCCGCTTGCGCTGCTTGCGCTCCCGCCGCTCGCGGGCCTCCGCAATGCATCGCTCCTTTTCCGCCGCCGCCGCCCGCCACTCTTCCATCTCCGCCTCACTGGGGTCTACAACCGGCGGCACCGCCTCCGCTCCCGCGCGCCTCCGCTCCTCCGCCTCTTGCCGCCGCTGCTGCACCTCCCGCTTCTGCAGTCGGTAGGAGCACAACTCCTCCATGTACGTTGGCGGCGGCGGCTTTTTCTTCTTCGTCCTGCCCTTCCCGTCCGCGCCCTCTGCGTCCTCCGCCGCGGCGGCGCCGTCGCCGCTCAGTCGAGAGGGAAACGCGTGTGCGGGGATCTCCAGCAGCTGCCGCATCAGCTGTCGCGAGGCAATCGTGCGTGCGTCGCGCGGGCACTCACGGTCAAACGTCTGCAGCGTTTTCGTGTAGCCGCGGCGGTGCATGAACTCCCGCAGCAGCGCCTGCGCCAGCGCTTCCACCTGCTCCCGCACGCTAAGGGCGGTGATGGTGCCCATGTCCACCGCGCCTGGCTTGGCGTGCCCGCCGTCGGTCATGGCACACGCACACAGGGACAGACAAACAGAGATAGACACAGAGATCCCACCACAGCGGCAGCAATCGCCGCTCGCTCAATGCTCTGCCACACAGAGATGCAGGCAGGCAGGCAGGCCGACAACGAGCGAGGAGCGGTGGGAGGCACGAAGAAGCAGCAACAGCAGCAGAAAAGAGAAAAGAAAAGAAGAAAAAGAGAAGAGTGGGTCACAGTCAACCAACGCACGGACGCCTAACGGCGAGGGAGCCTGCACACCCGCACAGCCACGCAAAGGGTGACGATGCAGAAGGGGGGCTGAAACGCGCATGCACACCCGTACGAAACAGAATAACGAGAGAAGGGAAGATGGGGAACAGTCACCACCGCGAGTCGCCACAGCCAAACGGAGGGGGCCGAGTTGAGAAAAAAAATAAGAGAGAGAGAGAGAGAGGGAGGAGAGAGGTAAGTTAACGTGAAGGAAGAAGCAAACATCAGTTGAAGTTTGCAACAAGAACAACAACAAAGGAATAAGAAAAGAAGATGCAGATAAAAATAAACCAAAGAAAAACAAGAAACTGAACGTCATGCATCGAGGCGTCCAGCCACGTGTTCCTTGGTGTAAACTCTCCTCTTCGCCCGCCTCTCCTCAGGCGAGCTTCCACGAAGTGGCCCGCTACGTCTTCTCTCGGTGAATGTCCCTCTTTTCTTCTTCTTCTTCCTCTCTCCCTCTCCGTGTGTGCGTGTGTGTACGCACCACAACCCCGCGCGCGCTCTCGCTCTATCCCTCCCCTCGCATTTGTCATTCTCTATTGTTATTTTTCTCTTGTGAGTCTTTTCGCTTTTTCTTCGTCTTCGTGCGTGGCAGCCGTTCCCTCCCCCTCTCCCTCCCTCTCCCCACGCGCCCAGGCACATGCACAGAGACATACACATAAACATACACGCAAACACATGCATAAATGCGCACATCCCACCGTCTTGCTTCGTTTTAAATAGTTTTCGCCGCGTTTGCCGATTGTTTGTTTTGCTTGCCAGTTTTCTTTTTCTTTTTCTTTTTGGTGACGGCGGCGGGCGGGATTGGAGGGGGCTTCCCATTGATTCATTTCACACATGTGCGCGCCTGCGGTCCGCCCACGCCGCTGCTCCCCTCTGGGCGCGCCACGCATCACATGCATACACGTGCGTGTGCGTGGGTGTTGGCTGCGAAGTCCCGCCCCCTCCCTCCCTCCCCTCATGTCTCCTCTCGTCTCTTCTACGTCTAAAATAATGTAATAAAATTAAATGCATACAGGCGCACGTGCCTGCGTGTGCGTATTTGCATATATACACACACACACACATATGCGTGTGTAGTATTGTCCTCGCCGGCGAGGCTGTCCTCATCACAGCCCAGCAAAAACGCACACACACGCAGAGGCACAGCGGCCTTGTAGGCATCCCGTATCTATCCACGGCGGATGCGTGGATGCGTCTAACGTGCGGCGTTCGTCCTCACGCCCGCGCCATGCGTCCGTCGTGGGTGGCGCTTCCGCTCCCGCGCGCTCACTCCCGCTGCACAGACCGCCACACGGTGGTGTTCAGGTAGTTGAACCCCCGCCGCCAGTTCAGCGCGTCAGGGTTTCGCTCAAACTGCTGCCACTTCTTCCGGCACGACTCACGCGAGTACTTCTGCGGGCACTTGAGGGAGAAGCGCACCCACTCCTCAAAGACGTGGTCTTCGTTGCTGAAGTTGTGCAGCGCGAGGCCCACACGCACCCAAACGTCGTAACTCTCCGCCGAGCGGGGCGGCATCCTTCGCAGCTTGTCAATCACGGCCTTGAAGCGGCGCCATTTGGCTCCCTCCGTGAGGTACACCGAGACTGCGTTGCCGTAGGCGTCGAACTCCACCGCCTGCGACTCCCTCGGGCCGAGCACATGCCTCGCCCGCAGCAGCTTGAAGCGCCGGGAGGCGTCCTTCACGGTGTCGGCCCTGTGACTCTCCGTGACCGGGGCAGAGCGGGTGCCGAAGGTGCGCTCGAGTATTTCGGCGTCGCTAAGCGTGTGCAGGTAGGCGGCCATGTCATTGAGCCGCCGCTGCAGCGCCGTGTCCTGGGCCTTGAGCATGGGGATGAGTCGCTTGCCTTTGGGACGCACCACGCCGCCGCTGGGGGAGGGGACAATCTTGCTGCTGAAGGCGCAGCGCAGCATGCCGTTCGTGCGGTAGCACTGATCGTCCACCACGGTGCGCCCTAACGTCGTGTTCACCTCTTCCGCGAGGAGCTTCACAACCCGGTAGTCCTGAAAGGCAATAATCTTTTTTGGCTTCGGCTTCTTCTTGGCCACCGCCGCCGCCTCCCGCCTGCCCCGCTTCCGCTGGGACAACCCGCTCCCCGCAGCCTCCGCGTTGCCTGCGGCGGCGTCGTCGCCGTCGTCGTCGTCCGCTGCCGCCGCCGCCGCCTCGTCTGGGGCGCCCATCGAGCGGGCGTGCACGTGGTAGGAGACCTTCTCCGCGCTCGGCACCTCGTTCGTGAGGACGAGAAACGAGGGCTGGTGGAAGCCGATGCCCTGCAGCCGCACCTCGAGGTAGTTCAGCATCTCCATCAGCAGCTTCTCCCCCGACGCGGGGGTCTCATTCGGCAGGTCAACGTCGGCAAAGAAGTCGCAGGGAACATTCTCGCGACCGCACACGCTGTGGAAGTGTCGCATGTGTGGGGGAAAGGCAAGCAGCCGCTCCGCCACGACGAGGGCGCAATCGTCGTGGGCCACCGCGTCGCTCTGCGGCGTGGAGGAGCTCTTCGCGTTATGTGCCAAGAACTGTGGGCCGGTCTCAAAGCGGATAAACGAAAAGGCCCCCGACTTCGTTTCCTGCCTCCCTATTAGGACGTCCTCGGGGCGGGCAACGGCCAACAGCTGGTCGAGGCGGTAGCTACGCGTGATGTGGTCGTGGAGCCCAAGAAACGGATTCGTCAGTCCCGCGGGGACGGGGGGGTTGGCGTTATCGCCGCTGTTATCCCTCCAGCCGCCGGCCGCGGCGCCGTCGTTCCCGGGGCGCCGCTGCAGCGCGTGGCCGTTGGGGGCCGCGGCGGCGGCGGCGGCGGCGTAGTCGCTCGCGGTTTCTTCCTCTTCCCCGGCATCCGCCGCGTCGTCGTCCGCCCGCTCCTGCCGTCGCCGTTGTGCGGCGTCCACGAGGCGGCCCGCGTCGGCGGGGCGCTGCGCCTCTGCTGGCGGCCGCCGCAGCGAGGAGGAGGACGGCGGCGACGACGGGCGCGGGGCGGCACCGCGCCGCTGCGGCCTCTGCTGCCGGTGTTGGTGGTGGCTGTTGTTGTGGGAGGGCGGCAGCGGCTGCGGCAGCGGCAGCGGCAGCGGCAGCACCGCAGCATCGCCGAGGTCCGCCTCGTAGCCGGCGAAGTCGAACTGCACGCGGGAGTTTGGCCCCGCGCCGCCGAACGGGTCGCTACGAGTGTCGCCGACGTCCTCCACGTCGTCGTTGCCGCCGTTGCCGTCCACGCCGCTCTCGCCGGCGGTCACGGAGGCAAACGCCTTTCTTCTCGCCAAACGCCCGCTGCCCAACGCCCGCGCGGAGGCGAAGACGGAGGAGGCGGAGGCGGCGACCATGGCGCACTGCATCAGGCGTGGAAGCTGCAGCATCGGAGGCGGAGGCCGTGCGGCGTCAATGCTTCTGCTGCTGCACACTTCAAACGCGCCCTCGCTATTCCCTCGCTCGCACACCAACACGCACGCTCCCTCCACAAATGTTAGGTGCGTATATATATATATATATACACACACAAGGACACTGGTGTATAGCGGAGGTGTATTGCCGGAGTGCGCGGGGTGTGAGAGTGCGGGGCAGTAAAATAAACTAACGGGCCGGAACGGAGCGGCGGGGGGCGGGAGGTGCTCTAGTTTTCTCCTGCTGGGCGCAGCCGCGGTGTGGGGCAGACGCTGCACAGAGTTGCGCCGCCCTCGCTAGGTCACGTGGGGCTCACAGGGAGAGGCGTGAAACACACACGCACGCACGCAGGCACGCTCTTTCCCGCTGCGGCGCGGCGCGAAGAGAGAGAGAGAGAGAGAGACAGAAGTAGCGAGAGGGAAATAAAGAAGGAGAGCAAAGGGAATGGAAGGAGAAAAAGGAAGCGCGCGCGCGCGCTTCCAAGCAGGGGAAAAGACATGCATGCACCTTCACGCATGCGTAGAACAAACGTGGGAGCGCGGGCACAAAATGAAAGCAAAACAAACCGAAAACAAGAAAAAAAACACCCACACACAAAACTCTTTCCCAAGCGGCGTCCCTATTATACACATCTCTACGGCCTCAGTCCCACAGACAAGCACCTCTCCTCTCCGTCACCCTGCCGCGTCCACCCCCTTTTGTACCTCCACACTCCACTATAGCCAGGCCCTCACGCATTTACTGTCTCACCCACTCTGCGTCTCAATGTCGTTTTCGTTTACAAGTTTCCTTACATTAATTACGCTTCCCAGGCCCGTTTCCGCCGTATGCAACCAAAAGTTTGGTTTGCTTGTTTGTTCGTTTTTTCAGTTTAGTTTCCTCCTTCCCTTCATCGCGTGGTCACCCGAAACAATGAAGCACCTCGCCTCAGGGTGTCCACCTCCCGTTAATAGCTGCCTCCGTCTTCATTAGGTCGTCCCACAACCAACAAGGCGCCCGTCTCACGCCCGCCCACTGCAGGGGAGGGCAGCACCCCGCAGTGCCCCGCCCCCACACACGCGCGCCTTCCCCTCCCGCTCTCTCTCCCTATTCCCTGCCGCTGCACGCACCTCCGCGGACTCCGGGGCGGCGCGCGCTACGCGTACTTGGCCCACACGCCCTCCTGAAAGCTCCGCACCCGCCCCTCAACCACCCCGCTCCATCTGCGCCTCCGGC